GGGGTTGAGCTTACGCTTTGATGGCGATGAGGAGGCTGCCGAGTAAGGAGAGCTGTAGATCATTGGAGAGGTACCAGGACCAGCCCATGCAGAAGTCTAGTTGGTCGGAGGGGTAGAGGTTGTCGATGTAGAGCACGTGGTTGAGCCAGGTGCGTGTGCAACCGCCGGAACCTCCGACTCCATTAAGGATCCCGTCGGAGAAGGCTGGGTAGAACGGTGCTTTGACCATGTTGGGTAGGACCACAATGTAGACGAGGAGTGTGAGATAGTAGGCGGGTGAGAGTCGGAGCCATCGTTTAAAGGTGGTTACCAGCACTTGGTGTAATAGGCGTATCTTAGAGCGTGTATTTCGTGCTAATTCCCAACCTTTCAGACCCAGGAGGAAGCCAGAGAAGCAGAAGAAGGAATCCACGGCGAAGACACCGCCGAAGACGCCTTGCATGCTAGGGGAGTGTACGATGTCTAGTAATTCGTCATAATTCTGAAGCAAATTTGCGGAGAATACAGAGGCGAGTGTGTGGCCGAGGACGATCCAATACAATGAGAGTACGCGCATTCCGTTAAGTGCTGCCGTGGGAAGCCGACTCGCTTTCCGTGCTTGGTTCTGCCAACGTCGGTAGTTCACCAGTAGATCAAGTGGACCGCCGCGTAGACTATGTCGAGTACCCAGAAGAGGTGCGACCACAAAGAGGAAACACAAAAGGGCTATCACACCCCAGACACGTGGCGTCCAGTAAGGTTCCGAGCTTTGGCAGAAGGTAGCCAGTCGCGGGAAGCCCACTTCAGTCGCGACCTGGGTGATGTTTCGTTCTCGATTGTACATGAGAGCTCGCTTAGCCGCGTCCGTGCCTGGTGCCAATTGTGCGGCACCAAGAAGGGCACGCAATTCATCCAGAACCTGTGTGGCCACGAACCCGGAGGTCGCATTCGTCCACCAGGTATCTGATGTCCACCAACCGTCAGCATGTGGATGTTTCCGTCTTAATCGGACAAGCGAGAGCACGTCCATATTCGCCGCGTCAGGAATTGAGGTGAGAAGTCCACAGCCCGCAAGAGTGGAGAAGAGACAATAATCAGGCGGGACCACAGTTGCAAGTTCGAAACATGTACGACCATGAGCGAGCCAGTCGCACAAAAAGTCGGTCACTTGGTTAATGCGTTCAGGTGTACACCCCTGTGCCACGCATCGACCCTGACCGATGATACCTGAACCCTTAACCAAGCAATAGTTCAGTGCCGGGTCCCGTGCACATGAGTCGAAATCGCCAACACTTTGAACAAAGTGTCCCGAATATAACAACGATTGAGGTTTCCGATATGATGCTGGACCACATTCTAGTACACTTCGCATCGTTTCCGAACGCGTCAAATACGGAGTACGAGCATCGTAGACCGGAAGCGCCAACCGCGGGTGCAGGTGTCCTAGCAAGTCCGCTGCAAAACTCACATTCGCCACCACCTTCTCAATCCAACTGCTATCAGCCACGGGCCAGTTGTTTGCCACCTGCGATCTTTCCGATATAGGGAGCACACCCAGATGCCGAGGCCTTGGCACACGAGCCAGTATCTCCGATGTAAGACCCTGAGCCAATTCCTCCAAATCATCCCTTCGTAGACTTTGCACCAACAAATCATCACGACCCAAATGATGCAACAAGTCAACTGCATGCCGTCCGTTCTCGCCAACCTGACGCCCGATCCTCGCGACAATTTGACTCCAAGCCTTCTTTAGGTCATCCCCAAAGATATCTCTAGTCTCAGAGGGATTCTCTATAAACAAGTCGTCTGCTACCGAGTGGTTTGTAGATGGCCCTGCTCGAACTTGAGCACGATAATAAGTCGTCGGGGCGGGGGTAGTCGTCGGACTAATTCTGGATAATTCCTCTAGAATATTCTGAACGAATCTTTCAAGACGCTTTGCCAACAGCTGGATTCGATCCTTCAAAGCATCTAGCTCTTTCGTTATCTCGGCAGCCCCACGATCTGTAATGAAACTTCGGATTTTGTTCAAACTCGTCTCAAAGTCCTTCTTCAACTCAGACCAGTCCATACCCATCTGGGAACTTACACTACCTGCCAATGCACTTACTCGACGATCCAACTTGCGCAAGTCTCTCTTAATCATGTTATTGGTCACCAAGTCCAATACGTCCTTCGCAGACATCGAAACCAAATCACCCATCAACTGCTGAGCCGCCCTCAAAGCACCGTTCAATGCACTCTCCAAATTTCTCTTCCCACTCAATTCCACATCCTTACGCACTACTTCGTCCTTACGCACTACTTCGTCCTGTCCATCGTCGTCATCACGGCTCCTTCTCTCACGGCTGAGCACCCGATCACAGTCGCCTGACAGCTGCATGAATCTGTTCAGCAATACAGATGCACTCCGCTCCACATCCGTCACATTGTTCCCATGATGTAGCCAGTTCGCTATGGTCTGCTTCGCAGTTAACAACAACTTTTCAAACTCCTCGTGACCCCGCTCTTCCACAATGGACTCAATCTTTTGCAAGTCATCCAACACCTTTTCCCATTCCTCATCGACGTCTTTACGATTCTTCCACAAATCGATAAGCCTCCGCACATGGAGCTTTAACGACTCAATTTGCGACCGTAAACGTTCCTCACTTTCAGCTTCACTTGTCCATTCATCGGTAGTCCATTCCTCGGTAGTCCAAACGTCATCTTCCAAGCTCAAATGAGAGCTGAACCAGTCACGCAAACGTATTTGCAAATCGCGCACACGTGTTTGCAAATCTTCAAAAACTGTTTTGGGATCCTTCACATCAATATCTCGAACTTCGCGTTGCATTCCACGAATAATGCGGTCAATCTCGCCTCTGAACTTATCGAATTCAACTTGGAATCGTCTACGTATTTCTTCAATACGTGGATTTTTAAGCTGACGATTTAGATGGTTGAGCTCTCGTTCCAACCATGAACTCAACTCCTCTTTAGGGTCTTCGGTTGTTTCCCCTTCATCAATAACTCCTTCGTCAACTGCTCCTCCGTCAACAACCATTATTTGGAATTCGGGGATTCGTTTATGCATGATACGTTTGAGGCGCTCTTGTTGTTTCGACGTCAAATCTTTCTTCGCCCACTCTCGTAAATCCAGTCTCACTTTCTCGATCATTTTCCGAATTACCTGCCTTACATCGGGTTGACGAACTGGACTTAACTTCATCTCTGATCGAGTCAGTTTCCGCATTATATTTTTTTTAAGGTGATCTACGTTCGCCTGGAATCGGCGGATATCGTGACTCCAAGTCTTCGGAAGATTCTCCTTGCCTATTTCATTCACCTCGGACTCCAACGACTCGAACTGGTCTTGTAACCACTCCACCAACGGTCCCTCGTCATCATCAATCTCCTCATCATCAATCTCCTCATCGTCAATCCCCTCATCATCAATCCCCTCATCATCAATCCCCTCATCGTCGTCAACCCCATGGTTGGATACCTCATTAAAATCAAGCAGGTCATCGTGACCGGCCGTATCGCCGCCGCGATTCAGAGGATGATCTGAGTGCTCTTTAACCCATTCAGCGATGTTGTGTTGAAGGTCCGATATTATTCTTTCAGCATCCTTCCGGGCTATGTCCATTCCTCGTTCGAAATTGTCGAGCCAAAGAGAGATGACTCGACGTATCCTGTCCAGGTCACCTTCCCATTGTTCCTTCACACCACTAGCTAATTTCTTCACGCTTTCTAACAACCTAGTAAGCTCCTTCTCAAACCATTCGGCAACCACATTCTCATCGGCGCCGGTCGAGCTGGTTTCACCGGCCGAAGAAGGGCTGCCCTCACTGGTCGTGCTACCCTCTGCGGTTGTAACTTCCTCGCTAGTACTCGCTTCTTCATGCTCCGTCATCCGCTCTTCTTGATGAATCCCCCCAACAGTCTTTTTCGACGACGGACTCGGAGTTCCCTTCTTGGCAGCCGCATGATCTCGAGCCTCATCGGCCTCCTTCTTAACCCGGCTTAAAATCTTCGCCACTTCTGCTTCTGCCTCTGCGATGATTTCCATCGCCTCATGCCGCGTGACCTCCACGCCTCGATCCACCTCCTTACGCCACTCCACCAGTCGGCTGCGAGCCGCCTCCAGCCCATGTTGGACCTGCTCGGACACGTCGCCTAAACCGATGCCAGTCAAAAAGTCTTCCAACAAGTTTAATTGACTACGAAGCCATTTCGCCGCAGAGCCCGAATCCCTCACAGAGCCCGAATCCCTCACAGTTCCTCCATCGGAACCTGGTTCGGGGCCCTGTGATGCCTCGGTAGTGGTAGACAGCTTGACAGTCATAAAATTGGACTCTATCTTCTCGACATCTAATTTCGCGGGATCGAATCCCGGGATACCAAATTCGCCAAAAACTTCCGATAATTGACTCAATAACTCCCGATAATTGACTCTTGCTTGTGGAGGTAGGAGGTCTGAGGGACGGACCTCTCGAGTCTGTAGCGTGGTATTCGCCCGATGTATCCACTTGCGGATATTATCATCAATAATATGGAATATGCGTTTAATTTCTTCCGCTCCATCTTCGGTACGATTTTTCGCTTTGTCTTCGATTTTCTTCAAAACTCCATTTATGTCGTGGTAGGCCGGACTGTCCTTGATCTTTTCGCGGGCAACATCAACTCGTTCGTGGAGCTTTGCGTAATCGAGTTCGAAACGTTTGCGATACCGGACCAATTTCTCTTCAACATGTTGCAGGTCCTGGCGCAATTCCGATTGTCCAAGTGTACGATTCAGCATCAGGTCTCTAAAGGCGGACCCGAACTGTACCAACGTATCCGCCAAGTCATTCTGGGCCATGGTCATACCATCGCTGAAACTCCGCCCGAAATCCTTTAGCCCACCCTCCATCTCGGACGACACCTCCTTTGACACTGTAGACAATAAACTCCTCAAGGCATCGACACTCCGTTCCCACATGCCATTTAGCTCGCGCCAATGTCGTTCCAACTCCGCGACAATCTCACCCGCCATATTCTTCAACCCGTCGAAGAACATCTGATCGTTATCACTAGCATCATTCCTGTCCTTCTCATCCCGATCCTTCTCATCCCGATCCTTCTCATCCCGATCCTTCTCATCCCGATCCTTCTCATCCCGATCCTTCTCATCACCTTTCTTCCCCGTGTCTCGGCGATCATCCTCAGGACCCCTTCCATCTTGGCCGTTGTCAGGATCGTCTTCAAGAAGGTCTGAGAGACGTTTCAAAAAATTATCCAATCCGAGTTCTTTGACATCGTAGTCTTTATCATCGTAGCCATCATGATCATAATGAACATAGTCATCATGATCATAGTCATCATGATCATAGTCGTTAGCATTGGTCAGAGGGTCATGAACGAGCAAGCGTCGGCCGATACGTGGAGGATCTTGGGGTGCATCCGCGACACAAGTGAAGTCTACGTCATGCTCCATTTGCGTGCGGTCGATCGGACCGCACACTATTTTCTGAAGAGCTCCGCAAGCTTCTACAATGCTACGGTTACCTGTACCGACCAGGTCCATGCTCGACTTGACATCATCGATGGGTTGCAACACGTTACACGAACTGATAGCACACAACGTAGAAAGCAGGTCGGTGACTCGGCCAATACTACAAGACTGTGGCATGCACAAACCGACACTCACGGAACCAGGCACGGGATCCAAACTCAGATGTACCAAACAGAACTTGGCTCGCTCGCCGAAACCACTACATATATCTAGGTCATCAGGCGTAGGCAACGGCAAGTCAATCAAAGTCGTATTCTGCAGAACCACGCTCAGATCATTCATGCACGTTAGAGCGCCCAGGACGCGCTGCACAGCCGATACCATGAGCCCCTCACCAAAACTTCAGAAATTTTATTCAACTACGATCACTCACTGACGGCAAGACCACTCGTGCCTGGCGCGGTCCGTTCGTCGGCTGATGGTTAGTTAAGACACGATGTATTGTTCGTTCACGATCTATTTCGTATACTGATTCTATATGCGAAAAATAACTAACTAAGCCTCAAGTCGATGTACGCCAACGGTGTGCATTAGCCAACGGTGTGCATTAGCCAACTGTGTGCATCGGCGGTCTCCACTACAAATTTCGTGGGGTCGCCATTAGGCGATGGGTCCTTCGTATTTGTAAACACGGTCCACGGAAATGGTGCTTTGGCTAGAGCCGGCGGGTGGTTGTATGGTGATGTTGTAGAGTAGTATTTTGCCGAATTCGTTGTCGGGTAGTACGGCCTTGGTCTCGAATGCGGTTCCGAGCTTGGGGTTTTCCCGTTGCATTTGAAGTGCTCGGAATTCCTTGCCGTTACAGAACTTAATCCATGCGTAGTCCGTGACATAGCTCTTAGCCGTCCAATCCCCCAGGTCGCCGTCTGCGTCGAAGGTTTCCTTGCCGACAAGTGACGCGTGTGTGATCTTGTTGCCAACAGGGGTCTCGATCCACACCTTGAGTGTTTCCCCACCGTCAACGAGTTCAGCGCCCAGAGGAATCACCAACCGATTCATGACCATCCGCTTCATCTTTCCGATTCCCACGTATACCATCTGGGGATCCAGAGAGTCGCTCCGCTCAACCACTGTCAACCATCGCCCGCAGATCGCACGTGCCTGGATCTCTAATTCCGCGAAACTTCCCGCCTCCACGTTCGGCGGTACCATTAATGGCATTAATGGGTCGAACAAACTCGAATGTGCGCTAAACCCACAAGGACACACACACCCGTCCTCTGTACTCGCCCGCGAACTTACTCCGGCCGGAGAACCCGGCTCCGAGTCAGACCCTAAACGACTTATCACCGACACTGCCGAATAAAACGACTTCTTCGACGGAGATCTCTTCGATCGTCGACTCGCCGACTTACCTGACGGACGCAGAGGTGACGCGCTTTCCGATAATAGAAACTTCACGCTTTTACCGCTCCGTTTCTTGTGCTTCCGGAACAATGGCAAACAACACGCCAGACGACCACAAACAGGCGAGTTGGATGAAGGACTCGTCTCGTCCACCATCTTCCTCTCCGGGGTACTCGTGCCCTTCACCATACTCACAAATTTTTTACTGGGAACATTATGTGTCATGTCTAACACTCCTGACTCCCTCACCACTTACCTCGTATCGCTACGCCGGTTTACTGACTCTCCTGCCCACAGACTGGAAGCAAGCAAGAACATCAAAACTGTTGCAGATGCCTTGGGCCGACACCGCGTGGTGAATGAACTGCTCCCCTATATTGAAGGTAATCGACACAGTGTGTGAAATCGACACGGTGTGTGAAATCGACACAGTGTGTGAAATCGACACAGTGTGTGAAATCGACACGGTGTGTGAAATCGACTCGACGCAGATTTGGTGAATATCCCGGCCAATATCAGCATTGTTCCAATGGTGTTTGACGCAACTGCGGCTGAGATCCAGGGTGACGGGATGATGGTGACTCCTCCGACGATTGCCACGATATCGGACGAAACAAATGCATTGCCGTACATTGATCACTTCAAGAAGTTAAGTTGTCTAGCGTTGTCGGAGTTGGCGTCGCTGCCTACGGGTCCGCAGGTCATAAGTCGATGCATCCAGGCGATGGGGTATACGGATGAGATAAAGGGGAATTTGGCGGTGGGTGTAAGCATGTTGGTACCGGACCCGATTCCGATATCGGAGTGCGGCCCGGTGTTGAAGATCTTGTTGGCGATCAGCAAGTCGGCAGACGTCGGGACTCGGGAGGCGGCGCTACGTGGATTAGAGCGGATCGCAGTGGCGTCAGGTGCAGAGTTGGTGGGATCGCCGTTACTTGAGTTGATGTTAGCACGAGCGGAACGAGACCTGGCGGGTGGGAGTCGTGCGATGGAGGGTGCAGTGGAGAAGGCGGCTAACATTCGCCTAATCGCGCTGTTGCTGGGGTTGCTCTTCGACTTAAAGACGGAGCTGAAGCTGAACGCGGATCTCACCAAAGAACTGAATCCCGAAGTGAAGGGTGAAGTGAAGGGGGGAACGGAGCGTCCTGGAACGGATCACATAGGGAAGGGCACGGCGGCGGAGGAGGCGGTGGCGCGCGCAAAGAGTTTGTTGACGCGCCGTTGGTTCCGTTATTTTGAGGAAGAGCCGGCGTACACGGTGGTGAAGCGTGAGTTAGGAGTGACGGCGCCGGTGTTGATCGCAGGTTGGTTGCGAGACGAGGAGTTGGTGCAGGGGTACATTGGACAATTTGCTGATAGTTGCCAAGACGCTCTGGATGAAAATGATCTCGCCTTCACCTCCGTTGAACGCCTGCTTTGCCGCATTCCCGACTTCTACTTCAAAAAGGAGCTGGTACCCGACGATTGCCGAATCGGAGTGCAAGTCCTCCTCACTCTTCTCGTGCACCTTTTCAACCGCCATGTCCTTCCACACCTCGACGAACAGGACTTCGCGCGCCATCACCCGACTCTCAGCGCACTGGCTGGAGCCGGAAATGGAAGCGTCAGTGGGAGCGGAAACGGCGGTGGGAGTGGAGACGGCAGCGGAGCTGCCTCCTGCGCGCACTGCGAACATTCCGCTGCCAGTGCCACGGCGGGGAGTGGCAGAGATTTATCCGGCGGCACAGTGCGCAGTGCGGCTTGTGCGCGGTGCGGCGCGGAATGTGAGTTCCAGTGGCCCCGAGGGTCGCATCCATACCACGTGTTCGACTTGGGTCGCGTTGTGAGTGAGTTGCAATTGCCGTTAATCCGGCCGAGATACACACGAGACAGTTCGTCACGTTCGATTAGAGCGGGACGATCACCCAAGTCGGAAAGCAGTGTGCGAGATTACTGTTCAATCGTGAGTCAGTGGGTGTGGAGTTACCTGAAGCGGTTGAAAGAGGTGGAGGGGATCTTGAGGGTATCTATGGTCTCACTGTTACCGCTCCTTGTTGATTTGGTGCTGAACTACTCCACTGTTGAAGACGCCCGATGTTTCTTAGCTGAAGACGTCTTCGTTGTCGATAACCCTTGCTACGCCGAACTGATGCTACATTGCCTCGCACTGAACGCCTTCTGTCTCGCACACAGCCCGGTCTCGCTCGTCATGGCTTCTAAAACGCACGGACGCACCTCAGACTACAAACGCACTTACACGTACGAACTCAAAGGCCGCACCGGCCTCAATCAACCACTCATCGAACTACTCGTTGACCAAATCAAAACCGGCTTCCAATTCGACCTCATGCAGTGCAAATGTACGCTTCGGTCACACACACACACTCACGTGTGGACACACACTCACGTGTGGACACACACACGCAGCACACAGTGTGTTTTGCAGTGCAGGCGGCGATGGTATGTGTGCAGATGCTTATGTTGATTAAGGAAGTGGCGGTTTACAACGAGCACCTCCGGCCGATTTTAGTGGAGTGTCTGGCGGACCGGAACTGGCACATCGTGGTGTCGACGGTGGGCGCATTTCGCCTGCTGAGCGTCGAGTTGCCGTCGGCGCCCGGACCTTCCGAATGGCGGAGGGGCGCGGACTTGTTCCCTTTTACGCGAGGTGTCTACGGCCAACGGACCCTGCTCCCGACGGGTGCGGCGGCGGCAATAGCGGAGGCGCGACATACAGTGATCCCGAGGGTGCTTGATTCGCTGCTTATCCCGCACATTTACGCGGGATTGCAGTGTTGTTTGGAAGCCGTCTCCATGTTCCAGCCTTGTCCCGAAATCCAATCGGTCCAAATCTGTTGGTGGCGGGTTCGAGTCGCAGCTCTTCACGTGTTGGCCGAAATTCCGCACGTTGATGTTCTCCTCCAAACCACGGGCCTTGCTACTGCCGCAGACAACCCACGCCCTCTAATCCAAGTACTCCAGGAGCGCCTCACCGATTCCATCGCAGCCGTGCGCAAATGCGCGCCCGTCTGTATCCTACGACTCGCCGAAAGACTCTGCTGCAACATCCACCTCGCCCGTGGCCCTGATGAACGCCTTGCCGAGACCCTGCTCGAACCTCTCCTCGTCTATTCACCAGCGGCCACCACCGGACAAAAAGAAGCCCTCCTTGCACTCGCCGCCGAAGACCCCACCAAACTGCCCCCCGGCGCCAACCACAAGCTCGCCAACGCACTCGTCAAAGCCGTCAGTGATACTCGCATTTCGTAAGCATACACTTGACACGCGCGTGGCATGTGTGCACACGCTTGTTGGTCACACACGTTTGTCACGTATTCCGCGACACACACACATGTTACATATTCGTCGACCCCGTGGCAAGGGGTTGCCTGGCAAGGAAATTTACGATAGCCCCGCCACGTATCCTATCCGTCCTCCTCGGTCAGCCCCCCCCCTCGGTCAGTTCCCCCCCCCCTCCGTCAATAACTATGTTGGTTAGCGATCGCGCGATGGCCGCGCTGCACCGACTACGGTCTACGACGGCGGGCGAGGGAACTTTGCGGTAGTTGCGGGGGCGAGTTCCTCCAAATGCGTTCGTCCTGCCGGCTGGCCCAACCTCCTCTCCGAGATCCATCCCAACTGTCCCGCCTGTGGCCATCCTGCGGTCGCCCACCCCATTCTCTCCCAGATCTCTCTCTCCCGTATCTCTCTTCCTTCACGTGGGAGGTCCCGTCTGGGTTGAATGTCCTAACTCGATCGAACGGCTGGACTGGGTGAGTTCGGTCTGCTTCCTTCTTCCCAGATTTCACCTCCTTGTCCCTGAGCTCTTGACCTCGTTCTTCTTTGACCTCGTTTTTGACCTCGTTTTTTAGCTCGTTTTCAGGCGAAGATTGTTCCCTGGTGCGGGCTTCCTGCTCAGCGCCTTCTCCCTTGAGAAACACGGCGTAGTTCCTCACATGGTCCACTTTCAGGGTACGGTTTAGCAAACGCATCCCGTTACCATTGTCGACAGCGAGCACTGTCGACCGCTGGTCCTCATACGCCAGAAATCCGAAACCTTTGGGCTCCCCAGTCTCGCGGTCGCGGATCAAGTTGATATCTACTATCTACACAGCTGCACATGTGTGTTGGCTATGATGTGTGTTACGAACGCACGCTTGAGTGTTACGAACGCACGCACGCTTGAGTGTTACGAACGCACGCACGCTTGAGTGTTACGAACGCACGCACGCTTGAGTGTTACGAACGCACGCACGCTTGAGTGGCTTACTTCACCCCACTGGGAAAACACAATCATAACATCTCCTTCCGTCATACGAATATCAAGACCGCCAACAAAGATGTAGCAGCTGTCCTTATATGAGTCGTGGAAGCTGGGTCCAAGGGGGTCCTTCAGTTGCAGTGTGATTAGGTCATTAATTTTCTGTATCTGACTATGGGCAGAGGACATAATTAAATTTGATGGCCATAGCCACGGCAAGGCTCAAGTACATTGCATTTCTCAACCCCCAAAATCAGCCGCTCTATTCCTGCCACATCCACAACGGTCAACTACAACGTGCCGACGAAGTGGACACGCTCGAGTGCGACCTGGCTGCGTATGAAACGCTCGACTTGATTGAACTCACATGTACGCTACACACACTAAGAAGGGGGCTCGGGGAGTAAATCCCTTATGTTACCTTCTTATGTTACTACGCGATGTATGTTTGTTCTGTATCGATCATGTTTGTTCTGTAGTGGCAAAGCAAGCGCAAAAGGACGCAGCCAACGAATGTTTTCTCGGCTCATTTTCTTGTTGTACTCCGGCCTTCTTAATGACGTTCGCTTATGTGTCTTCTACCAAGCTGAGGATTGTGGGTGTATTTGAACAGCAAGAATTCAACATGACCGAAGTCAGAAAATTCTTCAAGTGCTTGGCGGCATTGTATGCTCACACGGTGGCGAATCCGTTCTACAAAGGCACAACTCTGGATACGCCAAAATTCAATAAAACCATGGGTAAGAATGTCCCGTTGAAAAAAGTCACCACGCCATTTTGCAGCTGAAATATTGAGCTACTACCAAAAGCGATTACCAGCCGGTAGTGACAGATGATAACCACCACTGATACGATAGTTGAGTACAACTAGACTCGTGACCATCAAGCTCGTGCGTGACCAACAGCCGTCAAATATCGGCCGCGAGTGGTGAAGAAGCCGGCTGGAAGCTGGGGTTATCTTCCAGCAGCTTGAGCAATTTGTTCGTGGTATCACCCAGTATATTTTCTGCATTCGTCAGCATGGCACTCACGTCCGTTTCATTGATTCCACACTGACATACACTCGCCAGAGCCGTCAACACACGCTCCAGTGCAGCATCAGACGTTTCGCACAACTTGATAGCTAACTGTAAAACATCACGGTTCGTTCCGGGCCAGTACCGTCCCTGCCGTGATGATGATCAACCCCCAACTGACGTGTCGTAATGTGCTGCGTACCTTATATAATTGTTCATTGCTCGGTCCATTATTATCGCAACTGACAGTGAACTCGATCTGTGGAAAAGACCAATAATTTCACCACGATTTGTCCCCAAGATTACGCTCAAAAGGGGGTGGGGGGGTGGGTAAGTGGGGGGGGTGGTGGGTAAGTGTACATTCAAAGGG